CTCATATATGACATCAGCAAGACAACCAGAGCTGTACCTACTTTGTAAAGCTCCAGTAACCTCATGAAAGATTTATATGGCACGGCCAAGGCGTTCTTGTAATCTAGCACATGGATAAATTTTTTTGAGGTCTACGACTTAAAGCTCCTTAGTACCACGAAAGTAAAAAGTTTATAAATGGTGATGTAAAAAGATCATACATGAGTTTATAAATGATGATTTAAAAAGTTTATAAATCGTCGGGAGGCACGTAGTAGGCCGAAAATTTTTGAGTTCCGAGGTACTTCTAGATTTATGGAGCAGGTGGGTGAGCGGTCGTAAAGAATTGGGGCATCCAGACTCTGTCTGATTCCAGACACCATAACTGACTGGAATATCAATCGACTATTCGAAAATAATAAACCATTTTATCCAGAGATTATGCAACCCATCAGGGCCTGGAGCTTTCCAGTTAGCCAACGGATAAGCTGCCTTGCACACATCTTCAGAACTAATATAAATTTATTCCATTTCTGGTATCTTAAACATGAATTGCACTGCCTATTGTAAAATTGTATGAAACGATTATTAAATTTAGAACTAAAAACGTTTTAAAGAAGATTTAAAGTATAAAATTAAAACATTATGTATGTTTTGTTAGAAAGCTTAGCAAAAAAGGTTTTCGGCACATGCAGGACTCGAACCCACGACCTTCGCGTCTCGATACGCGACGCTCTAACCCATCCAACTGAGCTAATGTGCCTGTGAAAATCACTTCGAATTTGGCGATCGCTTTCGTCCTTTTGATAACATGGATGCGACAGTAGCGCCCTTTTTGACCTTGAATTTTGAAGTGTGGCGGCCAGACAACGAACTAGAAGGGTCAATTGAAACGAAGGCATGCAAATCATATCTAATAGATGGCACCTGCTAGAAACATTAATTTTAAACTGTACAATATAATCCTCCTCTGATTATCTGTAGTGTATTCACAATAGCATTAGACAGAAGTTAAACAGCTTATTTTTAGGATACACTTTCTTTCTAAGTGTAGCTAGCACTTATATATAGTTTAAAGAAAATTAATATTTAATATAATGTTCAACGTTTTATGGCATAGTTCAATTATGAATTTCAGCGAAAACATTGGGGGTTACCTCAAAAGCTTTCCGGGGGTATTGAAAATTCGCAATTTTGTTGAATATTTTGATATGCTTTCCGATTTCCATTTTTCTATTGACCACAATTTTCAAATTACTTGTGTCTCAAAATCTCTAACGGCATGAAATATCTAAAATAAAAATATACTTTTAAAAAGACTTTGAATGATATTTACATTGGGATAGTTTTTTGAAAATTAATTAGTAATTTTATTTTTCCGACGTTATAAGTACGCAATTTTTACTGCCCACTATTAATACGAGGCATGAATGTGGCGACACATGTCAAATGACAGCATTGCAGTTCACGCACATAGACTATCGATGAACGATCCTCCTTTTTCGATCTTAGAGAACTTTACTCTCTGTTCCCTAAATGTTTATGTTTTTATTGTTTTCTATTTTTTGTATTGATTGTTCAATCTATTATTATAAAGTAACAACATTCACTGTAAACAGCGGCATCAGCACCATGTTGTATTTGTGAAATACCACTGGCTGGTTTACGGAAATAGAAAAAAGTCGATCTTTATCAATATTATTATCCTTATTTGACGTTTATTGCGCGTCTGACATATTTTTGGAACACAATACTGTTATTTCTGCTGGTTTTGGTACGTTCTGCGTCGAGTCGAGCCTTTTAGTTACTCTGAAACTGCTGCCAATCCATTAAACCGACACCTACCACTAACAGTGAGATCGCAATATCCACATACTGTGAAATAAATCCCTAAAACCAACAAACATCGATGAATTAATATGAAATATCAGCATTTTGAAGGTATAGGAAAATATCGTAGAGAAACCTGGACTTAAATTCTACCTTGAGCAGATCTCAGAATTAATGCTCAAATCTTCTCCGTTTGAGAAAAGGCTTTTACTCTGTAGTAGTCACTTATTGACTGTTGACACATCACAGATGTGTGACATGATTTTATAGTAGGTAACTAAACTACTTCTATTAGGAATTCTTCAACTGTCTGTCTGCGACATGAATTAGATGAATAATAAATACATTCTGAAACATGTATTAGAGCAGCACTTTTCAGGCGAGTAAAAGTAATTATGCAATGCATAGAAACCAGGTGGCATTTTATTTAAAATAGGGGAACATCGTATCATATCATCATACGTACATACGACTAAAAATGATTTCTATCATAATTAATTTAAATGTATTTGTATTGATTATACTTGCTTCAAGTAGTTTTTCGAGCTGTTTCTACAGAGCTCATTAGCTTAGTTGGATAGAGGGTCCGGGGTTGAGATGCGAAGGTCGTAGGTGCATACTGTATGTGCTCGTAATTATTTTATAGGTCTTTTTGAGAAATATACTGCATATTTATTTAAATTTTATAATTTTTTGATTTATAGTAAGTAAGATCACGGTAAGACGAGAAGAATGCGTGATTAAACTTAATTTCCTGTATTTTCTATATCTGAATTTTTAAATTAAAGGTCGCCGAATTTACCTATTAGTATTACAATGTTCTTATTCTGCAACATTCATTCTTCTTCCAATGTTTTATGATATACATAATACATACAAACCGGTTTCACCCTATTTTAAACAAGTGCCATCTGGTTTATATGGATTGCATAGGTTTAGTTTGAAAGCGCATTCACGCTTTGTATAGCCGCAGCTGTGATCCATAGTTTCAAGTAAAAGGGCGCTATTGTCATCGTGTTATCAAAAGGTCGACAGGAAGCAGTAATTTGAATACTGTAATTTTACCGATCAACGGAAAATAAATTCATAGGATGTTTAAATACAAATATGTATAGGCAGTGTAATCCCGATTGTTGAAAATCAGACCAAATTGACATGACTCTTTTGAAGGTAACAAGTTAGTTTTATACGATTTAGCACTACTCTTGTTTTGTATTCCACTTTGCCTTAACATACACCAAAAAAAGCGTCCTAAATATAGAGTGTATTAAAAAATAATGCGGGAGTGACATCTGACTGCAAATTATTGAACGAGTACGAAGCGAGCTTCGTTGGTACTCTTTAGAAACTGAACATATTTCGGTAATGCCGCGCCAGAGGGCTGTAAGCTAGGACTAGGAGGCCTATCCTGTTTGTACTGTTACACAATAAATACCACTAGTAATATCGTTATTAGACGAAATATATAAAATAAAGAACAACGACTTAAAAATAATAAAGAAAGGGTATTTCATTCAAAAAGTAAAAATTGCGCATGAAGGATTCGAACCAATGACTTCCTGGACTCTCGGCCAGTCCAGGCGCTCTACCACTGAGCTAATACGCCTGTGATATTACGGGCGAAATGAGGGATTCCCTTACTACATACTGTTGTTTACTTTGACCTTGCAAATTTTTTAAACTTATTGAATTTATAGACACTTTTAAAAATTTTATGAATGTGGTTCTTGGGATTATAGGAAAGAAATATTGTTGTTTTTGACAATGTGAGTTGCGTATTTCTATTTTTATGAAAGTATTATGTTGTTTTAGTACTTTAATCCGACAAAACCGTTTTTTTCATTGCTCAATAAAAAAATTTTGGAAAGTTTCGCACTGTTGTTGTTTTCTGACTTCATATTAAGTGCTACTAGTCATTCTTCCGCCGGGAAGGAGATCAAAAATCCCAGGATGGTGTCGGATTTCTCGTCCGCAAGTCCCTCGTCAACAACGTGAGTAAAGTTGACAGTGTGTCGAGCAGGGTAGCGTACCTTATACTCACAATATCACACCGGTATTCGCTGAAGGTCATACAGGTATATGCGCCGACCTCGACACACTGCGATGATGAAGTAGAGGCTCTGTATGAGGAAATTTCCCAAGCCATACACACCTCCGAAGCTCACTTCACCGTTGTCATGGGGGATTTCAACGTGAAGGTGGGCACACAAAACGGCGAAAAGCTGAGAATAGGGCCATTTGGGTATGGGCAGCGAAACCGTCGGGGCCAGCGGCTGATCCACTTTATGGAGAGGGAGAGACTCTTCGAGTTGAATTTTACGTTTATACTAATTACATCAGAAATTAGTTATTTGATATGTTGCATTTTTCAACCATTACCGAGAGCTAGACCTAGGCCTACCTAAGTAATTTATTTGATTTCGATAGGATCTCACTTGATTTTCTCCGACGGAATCTGGTTTATTGTTACATCTATTTATTTTTGGTAAAATTTAAATTATTAGTACAACCGTAAATTGTGCTAAGTACCGGTCTTAAGCATTTTAAATCTTTATATAGAGTACCTAAAACATTAGAATGTGTATGAAACGCGAGTCTCTAATTCATTGTTAAAAGTATTGATTTTTTTTTCTCGACGCCATGATATAAATTGTGTAGGTTACATTATTTACTTTCTCGGGCGGAATATATAGAAATGTACAGGTTAATAAATCAACCTCCGAGAGAAAACTTATCACATGATTCTTTGCCATAACACAGTTCTTTATGACTGTTAGTTTTTTTTGTGGCATTAATAAGATAACATCACAGACATGAATGAATTCAATGATCTAGGATAAAACATAATATTTTTTTATTAAATATTAAAACTGAAAGCCATAAACTTTATTTATAATCACATTTTTGGCGAAGCTTTAAACTGTACACAAAATTAGAATTTACGCTAATATTAAAATAATATCCTTACAATAAAAATGAATCGCTATGTCCTGAGTCGTAGAGTCAGAATGAATCACAATGTGTTTATTTGTTATTGAAATGACTTTTTTGTTTGTATTTAATTATGATTAACAGGCCTCATTGTGAGTTCCGGATATTTTAGCTGGTAAGGCATCTGTCTAACTAACTTGATTTGATGTTTAGCCTTGCTTTAATAATAATTATTATTATTAGTTGTTAAAAAATAATTTCGACCCTGCCAGGACTCGAACCCGGAACCTTCCGATCCGCAATCAGACGCGCTATCCATTACGCTACAGGGCCCGATGTTAAGTGATTTGAAAATGCCTTCCTGTTTCTACATTTTAAACGCAGTAAGTTAAATTTTGTGCAAGATTATCCAACATATTTAGACAAATTTAATTAATACCACAGGTGTTGTCTCCCGTACAATTTTAGACAATATATTGATAGGTGACTAGACTAGAGATTAATGTCGTTACAAATATTAGCTACATTTCGCGCGAGATTTACTATAGGATTTTTGTTTGACATAGTAGATGACTTTGTTGTTTCTTCATTTGTTATTTAATAGTAACGCTCCTACATCGATGTATAAAAGTAGTAAACTACGAACTGGAAATAAATTTAGCTTCTTCCTATAATTTTGTCCGTGTGACTTAAAGCTAAATTGTTTTGTTTCAATTTGAATTTTTCTTCCTTAAATATAATTTGATAATATCATGTAAAAATTGATATTTAAAAAACAAAAAAGTAAAGTCAAACTTTGTAATTTTTAAAATAAAGTTACAACATTGCTTTCGCTTTGGATAATTTGATTATTCTTACTGCTGCAACAAATAGTCAAAGATAACCTCTACGTGGTTTTAAATTTGCGACATGTTTCATCACGTTTTTATTGATAAAATGACGTCAGCGCCTTTTATCTTTGAAATATTTGAACGGGTAGCGACTAGACAGGGAACTAAAATGTGCACTTGTGCAGTTGTTGTGTTAAGTAATGTTAGTAATGAAAACTAGATGGCATAGATTTTAAATAAGCTGACAAACAATAATAACTAGGTACTTAATTATTTTTACGGTTTAATGGGTAGGGTTAACATTTCTTTATTTTTACGACATACCTAAATTATTTATAAATTATCACGCTTTTTGTTTTTATTAAAACAAAAAATATATATAATCATAAAAATTAATATGTAGAAAATTTTAACTTTTCAATAAGTATCATAGAATACACTAAATTAAATACCATTTACTGGAACTCTATGTGCCTTATTTACGAAGTAAAAATAAGAAGCCGGCACATGCAGGACTTGAACCCGCGACCTTCGCTCTCGTCAAGCGACGCTCTATTCCATCCAACTGAGCTAATGTGCCTGTGAAAAGGGCTTTGAAATTGGTGATCGCTTCCGTCTTTTTCATAAAGGCGTCAGTAGCGCCCATTTGCCTTTAAATATTGCGTGCGGATGCGGTCAAAACAAACAATACTGGTGATGATATATATAATAAAACAAAATAAACATATTGCCAGAAGATTCTACTTATCATTTTATGATTATACTATTTAAATTTTTGTAAAAAAAGGACATAACAGCCCGCCTCGCACAATTGAACGTTGTCTGGTGACTTCGAAAGGATTGTACATAGTCTCTCATTTGAATCCATGGTTACTCAGGTATCCGAAGGAACGTCCCTACGGCTACTTTTCAGACGACAACTTGTATAGCTCTGTTTCTTTTCCTCAATGGAACCATTCTGACTTTAGGACGTCATAATAACCCCTGAGGTCTTATTTAAAACTCGCGGATCACGCACACCACACTACTAACCAATTCGTTTGTCCTTTCTACAAATCTAACAAAAATGTTTTAAGAACACTTTTTATAATCTTTCAGCCTTTTTTCTATGTTTTCATTGGAAAATACTGCGAAAAGGTCAAATGTCAAATATTCTTTTGTTTTTCACCTAACCGCATAACCAGATTGCTTTAATTTCATGAATGTTACTTTAAATAATCTTAATATATTAAAATACAAATCAAAATAGCTTTTCCACTATTAAGAAAATAATATCGAGTATTATTTTAAAAGAGAACAAAAGGTTTAAGACATTATTTAAAATTTTTAAGGCGTCCATTTATAAATGTTTAGAACTTCGTAGTAACTGACATCTAGCAGATAGGTAATCGAAGTAGTACCGCCCATGCATGGCACCGGACTGGTTGATTCGCAAGACGGCGTATAGAGGCGTTGTAGTAGCACTAAACAAAATAATTTGCAGATTTACATCAAATCTTAGCATGTACTGACTTAGCTATGTATAAACATGCAGGCAGGATATCTTTTGCGATCGGTGGAACCAAATTAAGTGCTTGGAAATGAATTATTTAACAGTAATTTGATGTTTTCTGTTCTACGTTGACGAATAAGAAGCCCAATTTCAGATTTCCGATCACATCCTCGGTAGTATAGTGGTTAGTATTGCCGCCTGTCACGCGGAGGACCGGGGTTCGATTCCCCGCCGAGGAGATTTTTTTAAATTATCTGAAGGTTTTTTTGAAAGTTCTTTTTATTTAATTTGTTGTTATATTGCGTCACACTTCAATATACCAACAAAACGGAAATATATGTAGTATTTTTTAAGGATTTCAATTTTGCGTTATTTACTGTAATTAAGTCTTAATTATTATGTATTTTAATACCACGTGCAAAACTAGACTCTGTAATATGTAGGTGTTGGAAATAATATTTTTACAGAGTAAAGTAAACTCTTACGAATATCTGAGTCAAAGTATATTAAAAGAGTATTTTTTTTAATATTACTTAAAGCGACTGGACTTCACCCAGTTGTACAGTCTCTTTTTTTGTGCCTTTAGGCTTAACTCATTCTGTCTCCTGCAGTAACTCACCGAGGGAAATGGAAAGTATCGTTTTTTTTCTTCGACTCATATAATATCTTCTGATTCACTTCGTTGCGGGAACCAAGACAGTTATTCATGTCCCTGGGACGCGCCGGACTTCAGTGTTCCGGTTTTTTCATGGTTTTATCAACTGTAGATCCTGGCTTACAGGAGTTGCAGCGGTTTTGGTAGGTTGTGGAGGGCTTGTCCCTAAAAACAATATTTAAAAAGTATAAACATATATACACTTAACTTTACATACTACAATAAACACTTCATGATGATTTCCTTATGTACAAGAATGTGAAAGGTTGTGCTAACAAATTGCTACCTCGTAGCTAGATGCGTGCTACGTCGTAGTTAGACATATGCTACGTCGTAGCTAGAAGCGTGCTACATCGTAGTCAAACTCGTGCAATGTCGTAGCAATACTGGTAAGACGTTGAAACTCGCAATGAGTCTAGCTACGCGGTACAAGAATTTGTTCATACAAGATAGTAAGTATATAAGTTTATTTTAAGAATCATATGTATTATTATTAAATGTGATGTGAATATAAAAAACAACCAATTTGCTTCTTTATCTAACTCTCATGTTGATGAGACACCACCAAATAACCCCTACATTACTCTGGTAAAACACACACCAGCAGCACGGGCAAAACGCCATCATAGATCATATAACATATTTCATTAAATGAAGACACGACACGACATTGATACGATTAATAATTTTGAATAATGAATAATAATTGTGTGTGAATAATAATTCCATGGGTATTTATAGATTTTGTTATTTAAATATTGACCGTTTGAACGGCTTAAGTTTACTTGATGGTTTTGATATTTGATATGAAAAGAAGCTAATTGCAATAGCGTGAATGATTAAAAACATGCCTTTTTTAAGGGGGGAAAATCATTAAAAGATATTCAGACTCTTACTGACTAAAAACCACCACATTCCTACTCCTGCACTTCGAGCCGGAGCCCCGGTAACCCGTTAAGTTCTCCGCGGCTCCGTATCGGCATCAGTCCTATTGAGCCCCATCCGTGGAGGTCTGGTGGCTCTTTGAGGCGCGCGCGAAACGCGACGTGCTGTACGCTCGGGAAATACCTAAGTGCAACATTTAATAGAGACAGAGCAGCAGCTTTCTCTGAAATCCTGAACCTTTTAAAACTGCAATCTCTATCCCGTCTGTCTAGAGTCGAGACTCATGATAATCGCGCACCCACGTGCTGACAACTATGTGTATCGCTGTTTATTATTTAAATTCAAATCAAATACGAATCAGCAATGGTTACCGCTGATTTAAACATCGATTTTAGTCGCCAGTACCTTTTTTTTCGTAAGTCGTGTCTGCTGTAAATAATCTGTGCCCCTCAACAAGATGGCGGACTGTGGTGTCCTTGCTAGAGACGGAGAATCAGGCTGGGGTACCGTTTTAGCACCCCCCCCCCCCCCCTAATAAGGAGTAAATAAAACGATCTTAGACAATTTCCAACCCAAATGGACGACAACAGAAGTTGGATAGAACAGATCGACGAACAGGAAGTTATTATTTAAAGACATTGATCTCTAATTTACATGAGATATGTGCAAACGTAACTACCATAACTGCACCAAATGGATCAGTTCCATTTTTTGTTTTCATTGTTGTCGGGAAGGTCTGGAACCTTCTGTACGAATAAAAATGGACAATTAATTTAATAGTCAGGACATAGCTCCATTTATATTTATCGTATATAAAAATAGATTAATATGTTGTGTTTTATTAAAAATATTTCTTGAAAATAACGCTTTCAAGTTGATATATTATATTTCTTTCCTTGTCACACTTGTGCGATTTCACGTAACGAAAAGCTAAAAATTAAAATTTGATATTAAAAATTAATAATAACGTTTACGAAACTACAAAATCAGTCAGAGGATTCTTGGTTCAATAATATATCATTATTTTATTTTACATTTTGTTACAATCATCCTACAGAGCAATTGAAGCATAAAAACCTACATCGCGCAAGTTGAGTTTTTCTGCGGTTCTTCTATATCTCTTCTATGTATTTTCTACAGATAAGCCAAGAATAGATAGATAACTCTTTATCGGTGTGCTCGCTTACCAAGCACAAGTGGGATCAAGTTCAGTACTAACGTAACGATTATCTTATTATTTTAATTTAATTTTTTTTTTATGTTTTTTAAAGTCTGGAAAACAAAAATATCATATTTAAAATATTATTATTGGCAATATTAATAATAATACAATAAGTACTGCATAATTCGGTTCATTATCATAGCTATACAACAAAACTCAATGTCCACAGTAAACCAGATTTTAAGTTGCGTTGAGTACGTGGAAACAGGTAACCATTTGTACCTCGCATATCATTGGGCCTTGTGGCGGAATGGATAACGCGTCTGATTGCGGATCAGAAGATTCCAGGTTCAAGTCCTGGCAGGGTCGCTGCACATTTTTATTATTTTCCCTTTCACTCAGAAACTTCTATTTAAGTTGGCAAATTTGTCTTAACTGTGTAATCGTCTCAATCAAGTTATCAGCTTGATTACTAATACTTCAGGGTTACTATGGTACTGTTATTGTAATTTGTATACGTTTTAATACAGATTAGTTCTCTTTTTTGTCTCTCGATCGTTTTTCTTTATAATGAGTAACAAAAAAAGCAAGCAATAAATTCGCTTGATGGTATCAATGATGACATTAAAAATTGCGATTATTAAATTATATAATACAAATATTATTTATTATTTTATTTATCTATGTAGGTATGTTACGATAGATGGTAGGAAATATTAGTGCGCCACATTTAAATTTAAAGAGAAGCAAACTAAAATTTTAATCATAATAATAATAATCTGCATAATTATAATAATAGTTGACATAATACAACTTACCGGTTAGTGTATTATAACGCAAAGGAAGAGCGATATTATACCGTTCTATTGCTACGGCGTAGCACTAGGCATTCTGCGTAGCAGAAGCATAGATAAATTGTTCAAGTAATATTTTTTTCGGATAATTGAGATAATCCTTAACGACAAATAAAATTCTTTCCTAGTGTGAGGTACTATTTTCGGACTGTCCTTATCTGAGAAAGAAAGTTTTTCTAAATAGAGTTTACTATATTCAACACTGTCACATAATATCTTTTAAGTGGAAATTGGGACGAATTTTTGTATTTAAGGTTTTATCATTGTCATTTGCATGTTTCTTCTTTGCTAGAATAAATAAATGAATGTAACAAGAAATAACTTAGTTTCACATGGTATGTTTTTCCTAGGCTATATCTTTCCGAATTGCCCAAGTCAAGTCAATTGAGTCAAGTTTAAAAGAATATTATATATTCATAGAATTATGAAAGTTCCCATAAATTCAATAAGTGTAAAGTATGTTACAGCCCTCTGGTGTGACAATAACGAAATATGTTCAGTTCCCAAAGAGACCTTACAGAATTCGCTATAATATACTCGTTTCATATTTTTTCATCATTCAACAATTCTGTAATGCACACCGTATTTAGAATGGTATATTAATCTCAACTGCTGATCTTTTTTGCGCACTGCACTACATTATCTGTGTGTACTTAACCACATATCCAAAATCTGAGTCTAAATAAATTTAAAAATGCCATTAAAGATAAATTTTATAGTAAAGCTTTTTATAAAATTAAAGACTACCTAGATGATGGTCTGGCTTGGGAATAAGCTGCTGTAACGTCCACACAGGTCATGTTGACATGTTTGTAACATATAGTTACATTTCTTGACATTGTTTTTCATACATTGTTCTAACTTGACATTTGCTTTTTCCTTTACAATTGTTAGTGCTAGGACCGTACGAGACTTTGCCTCACCATTTCTTTTCTAATTACCCATATTCTGACAGTTTGAGTATTTGTGCGACCCACGCAAATGTTCTTTAGGTTGGTATTGTTCGTCGAATCAGTCAGCCTCACCTGTTAATTGAGCCGACTGTAAACCGACACATGCGTACTGCCTTCAGAACGGGTCCGCTCAAACTGTTGTGGTTCTTTCCTCAAAAGGCCACTACAGAAAGAACTTGCACGGTTCTCACACATAATCTTTTATACATATTGTCTGGACTTTAAAAGAGACAGACCTCTGAGTTTGTTTCGGCATTTCTTCTCAGAGTAGTCAGTTAGGAAATGTCGACCTCATCGTTCGCTTGATAAAATTGACGTGTAAAAGTGCTGCTTTGTAGCCTATTTGCAGAAATAAATTCACTTGTTTCACATAAAACTAACTTGATTACAATTCGAAACGTTTTGTCAACTTGGTGATTACTTTCGATGTTTTGCTCAACAGCACTTCTTTGAAAGTGAAGCAATGCGAACCAAATAAACCAGATGGCTCTTTTCTAAAATAGAGCGACGCCAGAGAAAGCGTGACATAAAAAAAAATAGGAATATTGTTCTACAATCAAAATATTAGAATACTCCTAATCTCCTGCACGCATACTAAGATTAATTTAAATATTTTTCACTTAATCATTCGCAATATGTGCCTAAAAATGATCTCAGTTTCTGAAAGCTAGAAAATTGTGAGGCTTAAATAAACATTTACCATATTTCTCAAAAAGAACATTAAAAAAATTACGAGCACATGCAGGATTTGAACCTACGACCTTCGCGTCTCAACCCCGGATGCGATGCTCTATCCAACTAAGCTAATGTGCCCCACAGACACAACTCGAAATTGGTGACCACTTTCGTCCTGCGAGAACAAAAAAGATAGGGGAAAAAAGATGCGGGACATCAACAATGAAACACTTTAACAAATAACTGTAACTAACATTAAGTAGACGATTTTAATAAATATTGAATCTGCAATTACCCTTCGGCATAGTGATGAAATGGCTATTATATGATGACATCTATCAGGGAGTTAGCGAACCACATGCCCAATACAATAAACAAAATGTGAGGGATAAAATGTTGTGCCGGACGATGTAACTCCCATGAATAACGCTGGGGTGCGCTGTTGTAAACAAAACATCTGAAAAATCATTTCAATTGAGTATATGAAGTTTATTAAAGTTGACAAACGAGAAAATGTAATTGTATGACAACGGCACGGAGACGAGTTAGTGGAAATAAAATAATTTCATACATATAATTAATAAAAAAAGTGGACAAAATTTTAGATATTATAGTGTTTATGTTACGAGACTTTGAAGTATTTTATGTGTAAGCCGATTCAAAGATATCGTTAATAATTTTATTGTATGAGATCCGCACTAGCCCAAAATAATGTTCCTGCTTAATTCATATTATAACGACGAGATTTATCCTGTTGATAAATCTCGTAGAGGTCAGACAATCATTGGACGTAGGGACCTACTTGTAAGTACTTCTATTTTAGTATAATGATATTTCAAGTTATAACTAATTACTACTCTTATAATAATATTAGTCAAAAATTTTATTACCATCAGTTTAATACAGAAGAATGTATCGCTTACTTTTGTCATAAGCCAATTAGAGCTATCTCTTGTTAAGTTCTACAATTCTAGTAACTTTGCTCGTTTGTATACCGCACCTTCTAAAACGGAAGCCTCATTTTGCCAACTGCCATTGTGAAATAGGTGGTTGTAGGATATATAGGATTGAAAACAAAGATTACGCGGGTTGTCCTCTTTGTTTTCGACTTGAGCTTTTACCATGTTCGCAAACTTCTTTGTAGTAACTGTGTTGAGGAGATAGATAGTAAGGTATAATACGTGTAGGTTCAGCACTTAGGTTTCTAAACATTTCAAAGCCAAAACTACCTAAAATGTTGTATTGCAATTATGTAAAAAGCCACCTGACTACCTTAAAATGTTGAAAAAACTAATTTGCTATGATACAAATAATTTAATTAAAAACTTCTTACTATGAGACAACTAATTTAATTACAAGCTTCTTGATACTCTCGATGGTAACGATACTATTGTAACAGAGATTTGTAATAGATGTTTTTGCCCTGCCAAGGTCAAATGTCAAATATAGTTGTATAGTTGTAGTATAAAAATGAAGATTTTTTCAACTAACTACATAACCAGATTGTAATAATATCATGAATGTTATTTTTTCATATTTATCTTAATATATTAAAATTCTAGTCCAAATAGCTTTTCCAAAATTAATAAAAAAATTTCGAGTATGGGTGCATCGAACACATATAGAAAGATAACGTGCTTAAAGAGACATCCGGCGTCTCGAGTATGACAACATACCTAAGGATAATTTAAGACTGTAGGTAGCTATTATAAATTATATAATAATATATTTTAAATGACAACAAAGGTTTAAGACATTATTTAAAAATTCTGAATTATTTTATGCATTAAAATTGCGTGCATTTAAAAATGTTTAGAAGTTCGCAGTAACTGACATCTAGCAGATAGGTAGTCGAAGTAGTACGCCCGTGTATGGCACCGGACTGAATGATTCGCAAGACTGGCGCAAAGAGGCGTTGTAGTGACACTAAACAGAATAAATTGCATATTTATATCAAATCTTAGCATGTACTGACTTAGCTATGTATAAACATGCAGGCAGGATATCTTTTGCGATCGGTGGAACCAAATTAAATGCTTGGAAATGAATTATTTAACAGTAATTTGATGTTTTCTGCTCTACGTTGACGAATAAGAAGCCCAATTTCAGATTTTCGATCACATCCTCGGTAGTATAGTGGTTAGTATGGCCGCCTGTCACGCGGAGGACCGGGGTTCGATTCCCCGCCGAGGAGATTTTTTTTAAATTATGTAAAAGCTTTTTTTGAAAGTTCTTTTATTTATTTTGTTGTTATGTATATTGCGTGACACTTCAATTTACCAACAAAACGCAAAAATATACATGTATTATTTTTTTAAGCATTAAAATTTTGCGTTATTTACTGTAATTAAGTCTTAATTGCATTTTAATACCACGTGCAAAACTAAGCTTTGTAATATGTAGGTGTTGGAAATAATATTTCTACGGAGGTTTACAAAGTAAATCCTTACGAATACTTGAGTCAAAGTATGTATATTAATAGAATATTTCTTGAAAGTTCATTTAAAAAAAAGCATATACATATAACATACACTCACACTTTACTGTGTCTGTGTCTACATTAAGGGCCTGTTTTACAATATCTGGATAGCTGCTATCTATCACATCATATTTAATTAAGAACGTAAGTTGTATGAACTATCTGTCACATAAGTTAATAAGAAATATAATAAGAAGGAGCTATGTGTAAAATACATTTGCTACATTGAATACTTCATGATGATTTCCTAATGTCAAAGAATGTAAAAGATTGTGCTAGCAATTCTGCTACGTCGTAGCTAGACGAGTGCTACGTCGTAGCTAGACGCGTGCTACGTCGTAGCTAGAAGCGTGCTCCGTCGTAGCTAGACGCGTGCTACGTCGTAGCTAGACGCGTGCTACGTCGTAGGAAGACGCGTGCTACGTCGTAGCTAGACGCGTGCTACGTCGTAGCTAGACGCGTGCTACGTCATAACTAGACGCGTGCTGCGTCGTAGCGGGACGCGTGCTACATCGTAGCTAGATTTGTGCTATGTCGTAACTAGACTGTTGGGACGTCGTAGCTAGACACGTCCTACGTCGTAGCTACATCAGTGCTACGTTGTAGCTAGACTCATGCTATGTCGTAGCCAGACTGGTGGGACGTCGTAACTAGCAATGAGTCTAACTACGCGGTACAAGAATTTGTTTATACGAGTAAGTAAGCATACTAGTTTATTTGAAGCATATAGTTCATCTGATACATCAGTATATCAGTACTGATGAATGAAACAAAAAAATCGTAATGCTTCTTAATCTTACTCTCATGTTGATGACCCCACCAAACAACCCCCACAAAATTGGTAAACACACACATCAGCACCCGACGATATGCCATCATAGATCACAATTCATAAAACGAAGACACGACATGACATTGCTACGCATAAAGATTTTGAATAATGAATAATAATTGTGTTTATTAAATTCCATAGGTATTTATAGACTTAGTCGTTAAAAATTGACCGTTTGAACGGGTTAAGTTTACTTGATAGTTCTAATACTAGATAGAAAAAGGAGCTAATTGTAATAGCGTGATTAATTTCAAACATACCTAAGTGCAAAATTCACAGAAACCGAGCAGCAGCGTTCTCTGATAACTTGAATTCTTTTAAAACTGTAATCTCCAACTCGTCTGTTTAGTGGCAAACTTCTATTTTGTAGCGAAGGCTCGAAAGCAAACTCATATAGTGGACGACCGGGTGGGTACTCCTGATGATGACGTATGACTATGACTATGTATGTGCTGACAACTGGGACTGTAAATTGCTTATTATCTTTGACAGCAGTTTTTAAGCTTTAAAGGCAAAATTGAGTATATTTGAAGATAAACAAATTTCTCTTTGAAATTAAATCAAAAAACAAATCAGCGATGGTTACCAATGTTTAAAACGAAAATGTGATTATTAATGCCTTACAAAAATTTAAGTTAATATTAGCTTTTAAGTTGATATATTATATTTCGATCCTTGTCACACTTGTGCGATTTCCCGTAACGAAAAACTTAAAATTAAAATTTGATATTAAAAATTAATAATAACGTTTACGAAACTACAAAATCAGCCAGAGGATTCTTGGTTCAATAATCTATTATTATTATATTTTACATTTTGTTACAATCATCCTACAGAGTCTTAGTACTTTCTTTCCTATTAGTACGTCCCGTTTTTTTTGACGTCATTCACTCATTCAATAAAATTATTAATGTCATCTACGAATACTGCTGTGTACTGTAATCAATACATTACCTGTATAACCTTCGCCGGACTCGTGCAACTGACTGACTTTGTGTCTATTTTCACTATTGATTTGACAAGCTTTTCAGAAGTTGCTTGTTAATGTAAGAACTGTGTGAAATTTTGACTTATAAATCTGAGAGCCCTTCGGCATGAATGGGCCGCCTCGACCGTAATTATACCACGGCCTCTCAGAAAACTAATGTAACACAACGTTTGTAACGTAACGTAATCCGCCTATTCGTTTACGGTATTCCCTTAAAAATGTAATAAATAAACGACTTTTGTTAGTTTCCAATTTATTTAATAAATTTTGCGACCATTAACAGCTATTAAGAAACGCTTTAAATAATCTACAATTAATTAGTGTTATTGTAACTCCACTCGATTTGGTACTTCCGAAGCCGGGTAGTTCGCAGTCTAGAATTGTCCAACCAAACTGCCATCACAGCAACTGAAAGCATAGTCAAATAGGTCACACTACTATAATAATAATGTGCATTTAAATGGTAACTACAAATTCTGTTACATTGAAAAGGTGCCTTCTAATTCATAATAACTAACAAAAATACATGTGTCTTTATCTATATTCACTATTTCACTCAGTTATATCATCGTTTCTAATTATTACTTTGAACTTGCGAAAAATTGGACGTCGGAGGAATAATAGGTGCATTTTAAATAGTTTCGTAACATTTATATTTTTAACAGCAAGAGTAATACATACATGTGGTATCATCGCTACACCGGGCCGTCGCTGCAGTGGCCACACGCAGGTGGTGCAGTGGTGACATCTTGGTGACGGACAACGCCAACTGTAAAAATAATACAATTTATTATAAATCATCGCCATTACCTTTCTCAAACACTGTGACGGGCCGGTTGATGTGTTAGGCAAGTGGCTGCCGCGCAACGTATCGCGGGTTCGATTCCTACACGGAGCAATTCTTTGTATGATCCACAAATGGTTGTTCCTGGTCTAGGTGTCTTGGATATGTGAACTTGTATGTTTGTAATCGCACTCACGATACCAAAGGAATGCCCTAGTTCGGGGCAACGATTAAAAAAATATTCTAATACATAGGTACCTACTCATTCTCCGCATTCTCCTGTCAATGCAGACATTAAAGTCCTCTTACTGAAAATACCACAACGTTGTCCTTATACACTCAACCAATAAAATTATTAATATCATCTTTGAGTAATATTTTTATTTTACTCATACATCACAAGCGTATAACTAATACATTACCTGTATCAGCTTCCACCTTCGCTGTACTCCGTGACCTTAGCACTTATCCTATTATCCTCCTATTCAAAGAATAATCAATACTGGGAATAATTTTGCCAAACACGTCTGAATCGCGACTAGTACGTAACGAGACTGGTTAGACGACCACGCGGCAGCGTCTGTATTGTAGGGATGTACAGTGTAGATATAATAGTGTTATCGATAAATTATTGAAAGGATGGTGGGAAAAATTGTATGGGCGACGCACTCACGTCCACCACAGCTCTGACTAACTCTGTTTGAAAAGTTTCATAGCCATGGTTTATTGTGCCGAAGCTCATCAAATTCTGTCCCGGGGCTGCTCTCTGTATATTAACATCTTTTTGTTAGGTTGACCTGTAAGTTTTTTACATGTATGGGGTGGGGACGCACCTACGTCCGCCTCGTCTGACTACTTCCGATTGGAAGGTATCATAGCCATGGTTCTCTGTGCTGATGCTCATGAAATTCTGTTTCGAGGTTCTCTAAATACTCTTAAAAAACAAGGTTAAGTTCCTTACAAACCAATACCTTTCAAACAAGAGTCGTCTGAACTGTGGCGGAGTTGGGTGTGTTCTGTCCACTGTCCTTTTCTAGTAATGGTCTTGAAAACCACTCAGTTATAAGTCTGTATCAAATCAGTAATATGTAATACTCAGTTATACGATGACCACTGCTACTTACATATAAAAAATAGAATTTGGACATAATCTCCGTTCGAGTTTTAGTCTTATGTATAATAAATTTTGGAAGATCATGGAAACGATAAAACGGATTGTGCCTCCGTGTCGTTGAAACCTCGATGTAGCGACGCAACGCACATTCTTATCTAAACTTCACACATGTGCAGCAATATAGGATTTGTGTCATCGACCATCTATGCGCGTTATCGAACATCTCTCAAATGTCGTTTAGTTGTCAGGAGTAAAGTTGTCTAAGATATAGAGGATCCTCCAACTAGGCGAGGTGATCATGGCTGGTGAACTTTCTACCCAGAAGTTTTTTGTTGGGATTTTCTTTATCCATTATCCATGTTATGTGCGGGGAATAAGCACTGCGAGCTTAGGGGCGTAATGGCGTGTGCATTTACGGAAGTTAGAAGTGCTGTGCCTAGACGCTGATGAGGCCGAGGAAGCTGGTTTTTTTTTTAAGGGGGAAAATCATCGAATCACTGCTCCCGCCTGAGTGAGGCGGGAGGGAGTGTCAGACTCTTACTGACTAAAAACCACCCCGTTGCTTCTCCTGCACGTCTAGCCGGAGCCCCGGTAACCCGTTAGGTTCTCCGCTGTGACTTAATTACTGCTCAGCGGAGTGATAGATGAGGAAGATTGTGATAAGGATAACGGTGCTAATGAACTCTGTAAACTCAAGGTTGCTTCCAATCACATCGGGGTCCCCAGTTTAAAGAACAGCGAGTAAAATTCCCTATTAAAAGGATTTCCGAACAGGCGAAGTGATAGAGCCTGGAGAACGATTTTTGAGTTTGAAATAATCAAGACATTTTAATACAATATAATAGGTATGGCGACTATTTTTTAATGTTTTGTCCGTCTTTTAGATATTTTAAAAATCTTCGATACGTATTTTTTCTTTTTTCTCGTATCCAAAAAAACATGTAGATATTTTGAGTTAAAATGACGCGTGACGTCACACTTAGGTACGATTTCTCCGTAAGTGTGACGTCAACACCCCCCACTCCCTAACTTTAATGCGGAATAACTACGTATTCTTCTGTTAATTTGATAAAACAAAAAATACGTGTCTGATATTTTCGTGCGATCTTAATGACGGATAAATTACTTTTTTGATTTTTTTACCCTGTCGACACGCCTATTATGCTACCTTTTTCTTACGTCACACGAACAAAGCTGCGGGCGCAAATTTAATAAAATTATTAAGATGGACAATTTCTAGTTTAGGAGTAGCTCTCAAGTTCTTAGACACAAAATCTATCGATATTATCGACGTGATGGCTTCCCTAAGGTACACACACATTCAAAACCCAGACAGATTTTGATCGATAACTGCTGTACGTAAATGTATAATATATAACTTATATGTAAGTATATAACTTACATAGACGCTAAGCACCGCCAACCCCACTTAAGTGTACCGTTGCAGTGTTTTAATTTTCATTTCGTAAGTTTAGGCGACAAGATGTTTACTGTATAAATAATATAATCGTTTTGGTTAGGTTTGGTTTGTCGATTATATCGCCAAATGTTCTAAAATAGAAACCCTATATCGCGAATAGAAAATAAAAATGTGGTTGTAGTACAAACATTACAAAGACCATACGCTAATGTTACAAGTAATTTAGATAAAATCGGTCATGCGCCGCGTGTTAATACTGCAAACGATATAAAAAATTGTAATATTAAAATACAGATTATAAAATACATAATCACAGAAGCAAAATCTGAAAGCTTTTATTACATCTGGATGAATAGAAGCGCCGCTTACGTAATGGTGAACTGTGTTTAGCATTTATCTAAAATAACCAAGAAAAATATGTATAAAAAGCTTAAAATGTAATAAAGAAAAGGGTCAAACTACTGTGGTGTGTATAATTCACCAGTGAGGTAAATCACGCGTTTCTCGACTTTGGTAATCTTCTTAGTTTACTGTGGATTTATGTCATATGACATTTCATCAGTTACCAGAGTAGTCACAGACCGTCCGAGAGAAGGTGTTGATATTTGCTCTGCTATCGAAGTCGCAGGAAAACTTCACAAGCGCAGTGCAGGTTTTTGTGCTTTTCCAGCGTTGTAGAAAATCTTCAACAAACAGTGAAATTGCAAAATGATTAAATGTTAGCTAAGAATCATATAGCTGATTTAACATTTTCGTAATCTATGTATATAAAATGAAACCCGTTTCCCGTTGTCACGCCATAACTTAAGAACGGCCAGACCGATTTGGCTGATCTTTTTTTGTTTGTTAGTTATTGTCAGGAGAAAGTTCTTACGGCAGAAAAAGTCCTGAAAATCCTACGGGAACGGTAGAAAACAGGACTGCGCGTAGGAAGTCGCGGGCAGAAGCTAGTTGACAATATAAGTGTTTAGATAGATGTTTTAAGTTTCAACTTTACCTGTTGGTAACACACGATAGAGCGACAAGGATCAAAATACAACGGGAGCGGCATCCAATCAGATTTCTCGAACCAAAGGGGTGACCACTTTGAAAGCAGTGGTCCCCTCGAAATATATTTAACACACAATAAATAAGTCTGTTTAGTGTATAACTGCCGGCCTCCGTCGGCTTTACACGGGAATATTTATTGTTGGTGAATGTACTAAAAGTTAAAACATTTTAAGATACGCAACGTTTAGGAAATCAATATTCATAAATGTTTTAAAAAGTTTTTATGAATTCAATTTACAGCCCTCTGGTGTGACAATACCGAAGTGTGTTCAGTTCCCAAAGGGTCCTAACTGATTTCGCTACCTATTATTCGTTCCATCATTTTTCTTAATTCAACAATTCTGTAATGCACCCGTACTTTGAAAATTGTAATAATCTCAACTGCTGATCTTTTTCGCGTACTGCACTAAATTACCTATGTGCACTTTATCACATTAATCTAACTTGATTACAGTCGGAACATTCGTCAACATTGTGATTGCATTCGTTGTTTTGCTCAACAATGCGTATGTGTGCTTTGAAAGTAAAACAAAGCGAACCAAATAAACCAGATGGCTCTTGTCTAAAATAGGGCGATGTCAGAGAAAGTATAAAATGAAAGTATTTAGGAATATAGTTCTACAATTAAAATATTAAAATACTACTAATCTCCCGCATGCATAATTTAGAATAACTTAACAAAAACATTTTTAACTTAATCATTTATAATATGTGCCAGAAAATGATGTCTGTTGCTGTACGCCAGAAAATTGTGAGGGCTAAATAAATTTTACCTTAAATCTCAAAAAGAACTACAAAATAATTACAAGCACATGCAGGATTTGAACCTACGACCTTCGCGTCTCAACCCCAGAGGCGATGCTCTATCCAACTAAGCTAATGTACTCCGCAGGAACAGCTCGAAATCGGTGACCACTTTCGTACTACGTGGACAAAACTTTGTGGCAAATAAAGAAAATGATAAGAATAAGAAAAAATGATGAGAATAAAGAAAATGATAAACACTTTGAAAAATAACATTGACTTAAGTAGATGATTTAATAAGGATTAAATCTCCAATTTGTCCCTCGGCGTAGTGATGAAATGCCTATTATACCTCTACAATGACATCTACCGAGGGCTTGGCGAAATACTTGCACAATATAGTAAACAATATCTAAGTGTTCAAACGTTGCCGGACGATGTAGCTTACATGAATAACGTTAGGGTGCGCTAGTAACTCCAAACAGACCAAAATCATTAATTATCCCTCAATTGAGTATAGAATAATTTATTAAAGTTAAAAACCGAGAAAATGTAATTGTATGACAAGGGCACATACACGAGTTCGCGAAGAAATAACAATCTATACAGATAAATAAGATTGGGGTGTCTATTAAAATATCCGCTTTTTCCTACATGCATTTATATATACACAATACACATACCAAAATAACATTTTTTATAATTTTTGTCTGTCTGTCTGGAACCAATTTTGACGAGACTTTTATTGGCAGATAGCTGATATTCTAACAAGTAACATAATATAACATGAAAATGGCTCACAAAAAATAATTGTGTCTTAAAATTTATATTCCACGCCGAAGAAGTCGCGAGTAACAGCCATTTTTAAGCAAAAATTTGACAAACTTTTAGATATTTTTCAAAAGATTTTATTTTACGAGACGCTGAAGTATAAAATCGTTAATAATTTTGCCGCATGAGAGCCGCAAGAAAAGTAATTAAAAGGTCTCAATAAATATATATTTTCAGTTATATCTCCCTAGTAGTTACACGCTTTGATAGTTTGTCGGTGCGGTTCTTACACTGTTTGCAAACGGGACCACGTGACAGCGGTATGTCGTCTTCAATTTCTGGCAGGTGCGTAAGCACATGCTCGATGTTGTTTACTCCATTTAATCTTGGAAGAAAGTCCCATATAACTGTACTCACTTGCGACGTACGGCATCCTGCGA